GGCATTCTGATACTCCCCACAATTATAGAATGTAAACTATACCGTGTTTTGTGATATGCTCAAGCCGGTGACGGTTTAAATGCATGAGAATAAACAATGCGTAGCCTCTTTGAGGCCAAGCGATAAACGCAAAAAAGTGAAACCTCCAGACATAAGAAGCCACAAACTAAATGAAACCTCACTACGCGGTATGGATTGCTACTTGGACTGCGTATCACTAGTGATGCAAAAACACACAAACGCGCATAAAAAATTTTGCCAAACTTTTGAAAATTGTTAATCAGTTTCAGACTAAAAAAAATTCCAAACGATATTCATTTCAAGGTTTGACCGAACTAAACAAACATCAAGAGGAGACAGTGTCAGCCACCTGCTTTTGTGAATCTCGAACGAACTGAGCGGCAAGTGGAAAGTGTGGTGTGAGATCGGCAATCAACGAGTCATCCACAAAAATCTCCATGACTTCAATGCCTCTGTAGCGTGGATTATTTGGGAGATTTGTAGCATCAATAATATGTGTTATCCCATGAGCTCGTAGCTTCTGGAAAAAGTTAAAAGAGCAGAAATTGTAAGACAGAAACACAGCACAGCAGTATATAGGGCTGACAAATAAAGCTGAGGAAAGCTTAAAAATACGTAAAGGCAAGTTCATCAGTTTGTGAGAGGCGTAATTTGTGAAAGAAAATGATAGCGCGGAAAATTGCGAGATGCAAAAAATATGCTGTGAATATTGTTTTTTCACACAAAACTTTCCAATTTCTCATCAATACAACCCTGTCTTATTTTCAGCGCAGTATTTGCAGAACTTCAGCCATTTTTCAAAACAGCGTTTTGTAGACAATCCAAAAAGACCCACCTTCTCAGTGATGCAGCCAAAACCGCTAAGAAAAAGATATGGCCTCACTTCAGATATATCGCATAATTTATCCAGAACCATGAATGCTGCAACATATAAATAACAATAACGGATAATTTTAGACTGACAGCATTAGCACAGTTTTTGCCCAATCGATATTTATTGCTAAACTAGCAGTATTTAAACGCTCACCTAGTTTTTAAAACTAAGCATTTTTTCATAATCGTTGCTCTGTATTTCAAATTGGGAAATAAGATAAAAATTTGGCAAAATAATTTCTTTTTTAATAGGAGTGCAAACGTTTGAAACCGACTGCACTATGATTTTCAGCCCACGTCAAGTTCACCGCACACAACTGGCTCTCAACTTTTCGCTCAAGTAGTCGAATTCATATAAATTACATGCTGAAGCACAAACTGCTCACTTCAACGGGTGGGCTATTTGGTTTCTAACTTACGTCATATGTTAACCCATTGAGTCCCACAGAGAATCCTGGTGTGTATGGTGGGGCGAAGCTCTCTCGCCCTTTGATCTTATAT